TCCCCACCTTTCTTCAAGAAATCTCTTGAGACTCTTGACATTTTGCTTCTCCAGATTAACATTATTGTTTCTCCTAGCTCTGTAATGTAATCCTTTGGTACCTTAATTGGTATGACACAGAATAAGTAAATAAACGACAGGTGAACTGGCACTTGTATTATATCGGCATGATTCAACCATCAGCAGCTAATATCTCACCACCTTTTTAAGTCTAAATTTATTTAAAGAGTGTTTTATAGTTATAGTCATATAGTTCCCTTGTGTGTGCCTTGGTAGACAGACTCCCAAATATTTTATCCATTCTGTAGTTATTCTGAACCTCTTTCTCCTTCTACTAGGTTTTGTTGGTGATAGACAGAAAGGTTAATTACCTATGTGGATTTATTTTATTTCTTGCCACTGTGCAGAAGTTATTGATTATTTCATTTAATTCTTAGTTGACTCTCTAGAGTTTTTAAAGTAGATATCAGCTAAAAGTGATACATTTGTTTCCTCTTTGCTTATGCTCATGAGAAGTTTCCTTTTCTCACCTTATTACTATAACTAACATTTGTAACATTCTATCAAATGATGGTTATGGTAACAGACATGGCTACTGGTCTACAGTTTTGTTTGATTTCTCCCTGGTTTAGGCATCAAAATCATACCAGTATCACAGAAAAAAGAACTGACTGGATTCCTTCTTTTCGTAATTTTTGCAAACTATTTCTATAACACTGGTATTAATTATTTCTTGAATGTCTGACAGAATTTGACTGTACATCCATACGGTTTTGCACTTTTCTCTATCAGAGTTACGGCTAATTCAGTTTATTTTTTCTGAGATGGGATGATTCAATTCTTTACTTCTTAGTCTGTTCATCTGAGGTTGAAGTCCATGGTATCTCAAGCCTCGGACCCTGCTGTCACTTTGCCTCATTTCTTTGGGTTCTGCTTTCACCTTTATCCTCTAGAACACGAGGCATCAAACACACCTGCCCCAAACAGATGAAAATGTAGTCGGGAAACAGTTAACAAAACAAATAAAAATACAATGAAACACAGATGATGTGACATTTAGAATTAAGTCAATACGCAGCCAGGGACCCTTTGATCCTGTTTCTGTTTGAGCTCGACAACACTTCTCCGCTGTCCTCCTGGAAAGAAATCACTTAACTGTCTCCGGTTATTTCTGTTTACAAAAATCCACAGCTATCCTTCTCTTTCTAGTTTTTCCTTCTAATAAAAGTCTACCAAAATGGGGTCATTTATTTCATTACTTCGGCTCTATCTGGCAGGCTTATTTATTTACCTCTCTCATATTTCTCTTGTTGGAGGTATCTGGAAGTTAAATAACTTGTTTGCAGTTTTCTTGTCTCTCTCTCTCTCTCTCTCTCTCTCTCTCTCTCTCTCTCTCAGTTCGAATACTTCTCTTTCACTGAATGTCCATCTTGTTCATTGATAATTAGGCTGGGTTTGCAAGGTCTATCACTTTGGGTTGCATCTTGAATTTTTCCACCCTTTTCTGTGGTAGGTCATAACAGGCACAGAAAAGTCTTCTTATTACAATTTCCTTTCCTTTCCAAACAATTAGTCGTTCATCATTGTGGCTGTGAAATTGAACCACTCTGTATTTTGGAGTCTGGAAGCACAGGCGTTCGCTCCTGCGCCCCCACGGTCTGTGGCCTTGCTGGAGGGATGCTTGGTTTTCTGTCTACAGAAGTCATGGGCAGGTTCCTTTCATTATTTCTGTCTTCAAGGCCCCCGTCCACCCCTCTGGCAGGCCTAGGACCTTCCAGTTCTCTCTGTGTCCAAGCCTAGAAATTACTGTTTTTTACTCACACAGAGGCCATGTTTTCTCTTCAGTCTTGGTGCTTTGGGCTCCTCTTCCAGGCCTCCTTCACTTCTCTGCATCCTGGTGCTCTCCATACGCTCTCTTTCACTTCCTGGGGGAGGCTGGCCATCGTGGATTCATGGTGTTCTAGTTTGCTAAGTATTTCCGCTGTCACTGTCCACCTCTCGATTTTTCTCTTAAGGTTCTCATTTGTCCCTTGAACCATTCTGGAGCGTCTCGCAGCAGTGTGGAGTGCTGCTGGGAATCTAAAGGATTCTAGGTTTCATCAGGCACTGGTTCAATTTCTTTTGTCTTGCAATATTTATTTAGACACACTTGCAATTATTTAGATAGTTTAAGTCTTCTATTATCTGCTCGTGCTGTAGGTTTTAAAGTGAATCCCCCCCTCCACCCCCGGGATCTTTGGCGGTTTGAATCTTTTGTCTATATTCTCCTGTGCCCACTTGCTGAATGGCAGGTTTGCCTATAAGGCTGAATCTCAAAGTCTCTGCTCCCTGCCACATCAGGGAACTGATTTTTTCCCACTGGCCTCAGTCCGCCCTCCAGCTGGATGTGGTCTCCTTTCCTTAAGCCCTGACGCAGTCCACGCGCTGGCGCTCTGCCCCACTTCCCTCTGTCATTTACTTCTTGGCCTGGGTCAGCTGCTGCTTCTTGTGGCCTCAGGGGAAGGTTTTCTGACACCGCCTTGGGGATCCTCGACTTAGGAGCCATCCTAGACTGAACACATTCCCCCTCCCTTCCAACATGGTCTTGCCCTCCTGTACTTCTCTCTTCTCTGCGAGTGGCTAGGCAGAATCGAGGTCTGGCGCCTGCTGCAGGAGAATGCTGGGGTAAGGGCAGGGGCGATGTGTGCCAGCAGAGAGTGCTGAGTGGGTCAGGAACCCTGCCGGGGCATGGAGGGAGGGACACTAGACGAGGGCGAGGCCTGAGTATTTCTCACTGTTATTTCATCAGGCTGTTTACCTTGTTGGACTTCTTGGTTTCTGAGCCTGTAAAGACAGCCACAACTGTCCTACCTCTGACACCTAATTCCTCTTTCAGATTATTTTTTAAAATTAATTTATTTTTAGTTTTCAACATTCACTTCCACAAGATTTTGAGTTCCAAATTTTCTCACCATCTCATCCCTCCCCCCACCCCAAGATGGCATGCATTCTGAATACCCCTAATCTGCCCTCCCTTCTACCTCTCCCCCTCTTCTCTTATCCCCTTCCCCTTCAATTTTCCTGTACAGCAGAATATATTTCTATACTCCATTTCCTGTCTCAGATTATTTTTTAAGAATTAGTGGGCTTTAGAGAAAATGTCGAGTACTACTATTCCTTCTCATTCTCCCATCTTGCTAGTAAGTTCTTCATAACAAATTTTAGTAAAATTTCTCACCAAAAATGGTCAAATAAAGTTTTGGCACATAAGCGGATGAGCTTAACTAAAACAGAAAACTGATGTGCTATTCTTCTCCAATGACGTGCACAAGTGAAGTAATGTAGCACATTCTGTTTACCTTTATGTTATAGCTCACCTCAGATGAATCCTGCCTCTGGACTTTTTGAAAAACTGCTAATAGTTTTGACCAACCAAGTTAACTTTCCCGTAACCCAGGAGGTTTTGCGACAATTAGCTCCCACTGGCAGATATACCCTTCAAATTTGTCCCCAGCTGCTGCCAAAATTCTTCAGATGGAAAATAAGAAACAAATGGTTTCTCTTCCAAAGGGGGAAGGAAACTGTCCCAAATCAATTCTGCTCCCTCAGAGTGTTTCTAGAACTAATCAAGGAATAAACAGAAGCCCTAGCAGAAGGAAGGTGAGTCTAAGTGAACAAGTTCTAGATGCTAGAGATGGCGGATGCTCACAAGAACACAGGAACAACTCATCCTTCTAGAGGACTCTAAAACAGGCAAAGCAAATTCCTAGTTCCTGTGACAGCAGTGGAAATAATTCTGTTGTTGTTCAGTCATTTTTCAGTTGTGCCTGACTCTCTGTGACTTCATTTGGGGTTTTCTTGGCAGAGACACTGGAGTGGTTTGCCATTTCCTTCTCTAGCTCATTTTACAGATGAGGAAACTGAGGCAAACAGGGTGAAGCGATTTGCCCAGGGTCACACAGCCAGGAAGTGTGTGAGGGCTGATTTTGAACCCGGATCTTTCTGACTCTAGGCCTGCAGCTCTATCCGTTGCCCCACCCGGCTGCCCAGCAGAAATACTACTATTGTCCAAACAGAGATCCAAGAGGACTAATCACTGTTATAACGACAGCTGTAAGGATTTGTGTAGTTTTTTTCAAGGTTTACAAAGGTTCTTCCATATATGATCTCATTAACCCTAAGGAGACAGTCAGGGCTAGGGAAGCTTACCAGAACCTACCACACATCACACAAACGGCCAACAGCTCTGCCCCCGAGCATCAAAGCCCAAAGTCTCCCCCTCTCAGGACACACACCTGGCTCTTCTTTCTAACATCGCTCCTCCTTCCTCACTCACGTCTCTCAAAAACAGCTGACATTTGCCAGCACATCTCAGACATCAGCTTTCCCTCCAAAGTCCACCTCTGGATGTTGAAGATCCCTATGACCTCATTCCATGGGTGGGGTAGTGACACCACAAGAGGGGCTCGTCACAGGGAGTGCCACCCACCAGGTGAGGGCACAGGAGGGATACCTACTTCTCAGACGCATCGCTGGAGTAGGCCTGTGGCGATACCTGACGCCTTACGAGTTACAAAAGGGGGGAGAGGGGATGTAGATGGTTTTCTAAATACAGAAATGCCTGGTCTATTTGGGGAAGCCACTAACTTGTTTCTTTTAGTACAGTAACCGCTCTCCTGGAGAACATGAATTTTGGGCATTAAGGTCTCTTAAAACTACTTCATGACAAGCAGACAAATACAAAACCTGAAGAAAAGGAATGCCTCAGAGATGCCCCCGCCGCTGGGAGTTAAACGCGGGAGGACAATGGTAATCAGTTTGGATCCTGAATGGCCCCACTACTAGACTCGAATCTCACACGGGCGGACAATTAAACCATATGTGGCCTCACAACTTCGTGGGAGGGACTTCTCAGTCGCAGAACAATGTTACTACTGGAGAGCAATGCTGGTCCAAGAAGCCACATGCAGCTTTACACAGGACTCCCATTACAAGGTAAAAATCTGACTTGTTTGACGTACCTTCTGAGCAGCTTCTTTCTTCTTTTTATCCTCTTTCTTCCTTTTCTTGTCTTCCATTAACTGTTCTTCCCTTTCTTGCTCCTTCTCTCTGTCAAAATAAAACAGTATTTCCCATGAGCAATCCCCAAAGACCCGTCGTCCGTGCTCTCACATCGCTGAGTTCAGGCCAGCCAATCCGGGCCTGAAGAGAAGCCTGGCATCTCGAGCGCCACTGCGAACAAGCAGAGAGAGAGGCCTCCCTTTTCCTCCCTTTTGGTTCTGCTCTGGATACCTCAGGGAGCTAACCCCTGGGGCGTAAGAGAACACTGTGGGAGGCGCGGCATTCTTGTTGCTGCTGCTGTTCACAGTCCTGGCCCCGCAGTGATTTGTGACAACTGTAAGCACTATTTCACCTCAACTAAGATGATAAAACACATAAATGAATCATTTCATTGTCTTGGGCATATTAATACAATGGCAAGACAAAAATGAGATTTAAAAGTATGGTATGAAAAGAATGCATTAATTTTAAGTTATTTACCCAAAACAATTCAAAAAAGGTGGTTTGATTTTTACAAATTGCAAATGAAAGAAGACCCCACATGAACGTACAAGCAGATCTTTGCAATCCACATGCTGTTACTTCCAAACGATGCCGAATGCCTGGTATATTAAGTCATTTGTTGTATACTTGGAACTATTATTTTGTCTGTTTTCCAAGTACTGAAAGAAATTAATATCATATATATTTTAACTGAGCACAAAAGTAGTCTTTATTATAATCTTTCTAGGTATATTTCTGAAGTTATATATCATGTATCATTTGAGAAGATAATTTTTACATCGATGCATGGATGAGTTAAAACTTTCAGCTCTTTATATGCCTTCAAATGTGAATGAAGACCAAGCTTTAGGATTCAAAGAAAAAGGGGAAAAAAAAAGACCTTAATGCTGCCTCAGCCTAAATTCCTTACTTTAGGGGCAAAGATGGAGGCCAAACACAACATCGTCTAGGTGGTAAATCACGAATACAGGAAGGATTAAACTTGTGGCCGTCTGACTCTGGATCAAGTCCATGCTTACCAAGAGATACAATGAAGTTTTTAATAGATTTTTATTGTTTTTTTTTGTTTTTATTTTGCCTAGATTTCACCTTGTATATCGCCCCTTGACAGAGAGCTGTCTTTCCTAACAAAGACTTTAAAAAAAAAAAGGCAAAGAGGACGAGAAAACATAACTTTGTAAAACCAATATATTGGGCGGAGGGTGACAGAAACTGTCTGCAATATTCCATATTTGTGGGCCCCCACCTCTGCAGAGGTGTGAGGAGAGGAGACGTTTCCTAGCTCTTCTTCGGGTTGAGCTTTCTTTATAATTTTGCCACATTTAGCTTTAGTTGTTTAGTTGTTTTATAACCCTAAATTCTTTCTAGTTACATTGCTGCAGTCATTCTGTGAGCCGGCTTCCTGGCTTTGTTTGCATCATATACTGAAATGGTTTGTGTAAATCTTTCCACCAGAGCATAAGTCATTTTCTTGTACATTAATGTATTACAATTCATTCAGCTATTCTTCGATCAATGGGCATCTACCTGTTTCTAGTTCTTGGCCACCACAAAAAAAAGTGCTGCTGTAAATATTCTGGTGTATATGGGACCTCACTTTCTATCACTGACCTCCTTGAAGGTTATATGCCTAGTAGTGCAATCTGAGTATGTATTCGGTTCCTCTGTGGAATTCCAAAGTGCTATTCAGAACCATCACACAAATTCACAGCTCCACCAACAATGCATAAGTGTGCTTGTCGCACAACTCCTCTAGCACCGATTAGTCGGTCTTTTGTCATCTCTGCCAACTTACTAGGCATGAAGTGAAGCCTTAGCGTTATCCTGAACTGTCTTTCTCTTATGGCTACTGATGAGGTGGAGCCTTCCATATGGTTTTTAACAGTTTACAATTCTTCTTTTCAGAACTATCTGTTCTTTTGACCATGGATCTGCCACGGAACGGCTTTGGATAAACAGCTTTTAAAACAGCAGTCTGACAAGACAATCACCACCACAACACGGAAAGAAAACAACTACGGAATCCAAAATATATCCTAGTGGGTCTGAGTATTCCTGTGATTGATAAGATTTGGAATTCAAAGTGGCCAGAGAAGTGCCTGAATTCAAATCGCCTCTTTCTACACAAGAGGGAACCAGGACCAAAGAAAGGACGGCTTGTTCCAAGTCACCGAGGCAGCAGATGCAGGCCCAAATGCAGTCCAGTCTCTCAAATCGCAATGTGGTTTCTCTGTGCACAATTCCAAACTGCTATTCGTTTGGGTGAAAAATGAATCCATGTCCACGACAAGATTTTCCAGGCTCAAGAACAGGCAGCAGCACTGAAAGGTGGTTTACAAGCACATTCTTAGGAGAATGACTGAGGTGGAGGGGACGTCAGAGATCATCAGTTCACCTCCCTCCTTCTCCAGAGAAGGAAGCCGGGCAAGTTAAGTGGCTTGCCCCAAGAATGACAAGTGGCAGCTTGTTCTCAGCCTGCAAAGTCCTGGCTTAATAACCACTGCACCAGCTGCTCACGCTCCCTAGTGTTATCCAAAGGCCCTTCATCACCAGAAAGAGGCCTCAGACAGGCCATCTAGCCCAGCCCTTTGCCGAAGGATGTCTTACACGACGAATCCTCTCCTGGTCATCGACCGGCGCTTCTTAAACTGTGGGCTGAGACCCCATGGGGTCACGTTTAAGAAGTGCTGAAAAGGTCGCGAGCAGAAAAAGTGTAAGAAGCCCTGATCTAAGCCACCTGCTTGAAGACCTTCTTCCCCTAATCCCTGCTGGGATGACTCTTATCACGAGGCTTTTCCCTCTCCTATGAAGCCCAAATACCCTCCTTTAAAATGCCCCAATATCCTAGCAGTTCTACACACTAGGGCCAAGAGCAGCAAGTTCCCAAGCCAGCCCCTCAAATGTGTGGCAGCTGGTGAGCCACCCTCAGTGGATCTTCTCGTGGCACAGTGCAGAGGCATTTCACACTCCTCTAGCCCTCGTCAGCTTAACAACGTATGTTCTGAGATTCGGTGGCCAGGATGCAACTCAATAATCCAGATGTCGCAGGAACAGGGCAGATGACAAACGATTAATAAATAACCAACTCCTGGGGAGATCCCTGGCCTTTCCCAAAATTGTACCCTTGGGGCAGCTAGGTGGCGCAGTGGATGGAGCACCGGCCCTGGATTCAGGAGGACCTGGGTTCAAATCCGGCCGCAGACACAAAACACTTACTAGCTGCGTGACCCTGGGAAAGTCACTTAACCCCATTGCCTAGCCCCTCCCAAAAAAAAAACCAAACAAAAACAAAAAAACCAAAATTGTACCCTACCTAGACTACTATCATGTCTAGGGGGAGCTGTTGCCCCACTTAGCTAGAACTTAATTCTACAAAGCTTCAAATTCTTACAAAGAATGTAATTTAAGGCGAATTCTGGCCCACTGTGTTCCGCTCAGGCCAGTGTGGGCAGGGGGGTAGCTCCCTCGTTCACACCGCCTAAGGCTAGAGGGGATGTGGAAGTAAATAACATGATCAAAGTCACGTACATCCCTCAGCCCCTCCTTAGAATAGTCACTCTCATTACTTGTTAACCCATCAGAGTGGCCTGCCACCCACTCTTCCAAGGGCGTTTATGCAATGAGTGGGTTCCATGAGGGGTCTTTGGCATTTGAAAGTGTTACTGACCCCTTTTATTAATTATATGCCGGCACGATTACTAGAATAATTAATTATACAGAAACTATGTCTCTCAAACTTTTTATATGTCAAATATCACTTCCCCAGTCATGGGCATCAACTATTTCAGATCAAAGACGGAATCAGATTTTTAAAAATTGTCTTTTAATAAAACACTCTAGAATTCTGCCAGGAACCAAAGTCAAGCCGGCTGTTGCACAGTTTATAGTCGGTGGACCCAGAGGAACCTTACGGGAGATGGAGGCCTGCTGGTTCATTTTACAGAGAGGACACTAAGGCTCAGAGCCACTTGCCTGCCATTTTCTGCCTTTACAGACCGTTCCCTTTCTTTCCCTTACAGGATTCTGAAAGATCACGCGGCTCTCGGGCTCAGCAATCTGAGCCACCAGCACCTCGAGGCGACCTAAAGCATAAGGTGCTGGTCAGACCCTCTTGCCTGCTGCCCTGGGACTGCATTCCACGTTCACAGCAATCCTGGGTTAAAGCTGCCAGCCTCAGCAGGAAGACTCTGGGCCTCGGCTTTCTCATCTGGAAGGGAGCTACCTGGCAGGACTGGCTCTCTGAGATCCCTTACGGTTAATTAACCCTTTAGGATTCTACACTCTCTAGGCATGAACACAGAAGGCAAACATTAAGTTCCCTGAAATGGATCTGACAAATTTGCAGCTCTATTTCCTGGATAGGCTATAGGACAGATCACAGAATGAAATCCTGCTGGTTAAAATGTACATGTGGTACACTAGGTGGAATGATGGATATAGTGCTGGCCTCGGAGTCAGTGAGACTCGAGTTCCAATCTAGCTTTGACATTCACTCACTAGCACATGACCAAGGGTAAGTGACCCTGTTTCCTTACCTGTAAAATGAGAATATCAACACCATGTCCTTATCTCACAGGACTGCTGTGGCGGTCAAACTAATCACAGACACAAGGAATTAGGGTCATGAGTGAGCTGCAAACCGCACAGCACTACAGAAATGTTACGTGTTATCTCACAGATAACCTTATTACATACCCATTTTATATCACACACATATAATGTATAAAAGAAAGTCCAAAAGTCTTAGTGCAGTTTTATACTTTAATAACTTATGAAAATGGGCTCACTCAAAAAGCTGATGGCTGGCACTCAAAGGCAGAGGGTCTGCCCGGATGCTTCCCCTTGGGGCCGCCATCTCACAAACCTGGGCACCAAGGGCCTCCCCCCTCCAGCCTGCACTCCCAACTGAGGGGCCGGGCCCTTCCCCCTTCTCCCCACTTGTTGCTACTTGCTGTAACATCTTTGTGAAACTGCCTCTTCAGAGTCAAACAAAGATCAATGTGCTTCTGTTACAATCAGCAAATATTTCCTGTTTCAATATTTTG